AAAACAGCAGACTCATTTCACAGCAAAGTGTCCCTTCGGGGGTGTTTCAGAAATATAGTGATATTAAAGCAGATGAAGACAACGCCTTAAAAAGTTTTATGGGCAGTTGTGCAGACACAATAAAAGTCCATTTAGACGTTTGAGGACTATTACAGTGATTTTACAGGCGTTCATTACAGTTCCCTCTACACCTTCTCTCTTTCTTGTATTAACATTTCTGTCTTCAAGCAGGTGGATGTAACCTGCTGAACAAGTGCTGAAGTTGAACTGTTCCATATTACATTTTAATGCCAGTGCTTCTCACTCTCATTCCTCTTCAAATTAAAAAAGAGTGAGTTGAGACTTTTGATAGACCTACCTCTGGATAGCAGTCCTTGGCAAAAACATGCAGCAGTGCCGTTTTCCCACACTGCGTGTCCCCGACCACCACAATCTTACAGCGGCTGCCTAGACTGTCCATGGTTTCTGTCCGTCAGAGGTGTGTTGTTGACGCGGGGATGGGTTGCATCCAGCATCCGTTAAGAGGTACAGAGGAATCGAAGATGGGAAAGAAAAATGAGGCAAATACTTGAATACATGCGCCGACCCCGGTGCGCTTTATCCAGCTCCTCCTGTCCTCGGCTCTCTGGTCCCGCTGACAGGCTCCGTCTGACTGCTACCGAAAGGGCGCACACAGCCCTCCCTGGAAACTGGTACTTTGATTACTGGCCACGCCTTCCTAATATTCACGTCTGAGTCTCTATTACTCAACTGTAATGGACAGCTCTTGTGGGAAATAAAGGGTCTGCTATGGTGACCTTATCCTCTTTGTTTTTGCCTCTGATGGTATCCTTTTAATATCTCAATGATATTACTAAAGTAATGACTGTATCAGCGGGAATCTCAGAGTTTATAGACACTGCCTCTTTATCCCTATAGAATCTATATTACATTGGTTTGGGAACTTTGAGAACATCAGAATGACATGATTGCCTCATATTGTGTCCCTGCAAATAATATTGTCTCTTGAAATTGCCTTATAATATAGGCTAATAAAGAGCTTTTGTCACAGTTAATATTTTACCTCCCATCAGGTCTACAGTGGCACTATAATATTATTATAAAATGTAAGTTAATTAATAATAGTTATTATCACAAGATCTCATTAGAGCCCATTGAGACGATTGGCACTGCAGGCTATTATATTCCCATAAGGAACTTGTCAGTGGCTGCGCTCCATAAAAGCGGAGAGATACATGATTTAACGGATATTTTATCATTTTCTTTTTCTGTTTTGTGTAATTTCTGTTCAATAACAATCCAACAATGTACTCTATCTTTCTTGTTCAAATTAGTGACTTCAGCTTTTAGGGATCCGAGGTTTGATTGATTCACTGAACAGATATTACAGTGAATAAGTCATTCTTTCTTTTCTTTCTTTTCTAGATGAAGTTGTAAGGTGGTGATTTCTTGCATGCTGTGATACATTGCTCTGTAGTGGGGCTGCTATTTAGGAATATGATGCAAGCAAAAGCATTTTTTGGGGGCGGCAGTAGTTCAGTGTG